CGCGACGTCAAAGCCGCGGAGGGGGTCGACGCCGAGGCGGCGGAGGAGGAGGAAACGTTCCCCGTCTTGGACGCCGCCCTGCGCATGCTCGGGGCCGCGTCGGAGGCGGGGATGGGGGATCGCGACCTCGCCGCGACGGTTCATTTTATCCAGGCCGCCGCCGCGATCGAGCGGGAGGAACGCCAGGCCGCCCCGCCGCCAGCGAAGGAAGGGATGGCGGAGGGGGGAATCGACCCAAGAGCCGCGCGCGAGGCGGCGGATAGGAGGGAGACTTTTGAGCCCCGCGGACTCTCCTCCGCGGCGTTTTTGTTCGATGACGAACAGGGCGGTCACAACGGCGCGGAAACGGGCCCTGACGCGGGTGAGGCTGCCACGGGGGCCTCACGAACAACCCTCACCCCGAAAGATGGAGGAAAAGGTAACGAAGCAGAGTCGCCGGAGTTCACGTTTGAAGACTTTTATTGAGGCTCGCCCGCGCAAGGATCGGCCTTTCTGAAGGGGGAGGGCTATCTGTGGGCTTTCACGATTTCTCGTTCGATCGTCTTTCCCTGGATCGTGCCAATCGTCGTCGAGTGAGGAGTCTTTTGAGTATGTGCTTTTTCCGAATGGGGGGATGGCCCTGAGGATTTTCCCAGCCTTGGGTGGGGTCTCTCGAATGGCCTGCTCTGGTGCGTCCTTGAGAGGTAGGGAAAACCAGCAACCTTTGTTTTCACAAATGCTTCTTTCACTCCGGTACCGTTAACTTTTCACACGGAAATTAGTCCGAATGAGTACACGTTAAAGATCATGTCGTCCGCCCCCATAGTTTCTTTTTTCCGCTTTCATCCCTTGTAATGTCTGTGCGTGCATGTGGAATGGGTCGGCATATGGTTTGGTAAAGCTTTCCAGTGGGTCTGGTCTCATTGGGTGAGAGGGGCTACCCCCTCGGCTGTTTCGATGCAAATTAACTAGATGGGAACAAATCTGTTTGCATAATAACGAAGTTGGAGTCAAAGGGGGATCAATACGCTTTTAAATGGATCGACATGATATGACGATGAAGGCTTTTATATGTCCCATCACTTTGTTTCCCTTGTGTGTTATTCTACCACACGTAGCTGTCAAGGATAAAGCAAAATATGAAAAGACAGTTATCCATATTCACATCTCTGCCCAAAAGATAGAAAAAAGATTGCGTTCATCTCTATATAAAGAGCACATAGTAGTAAACCTAGTATATTCGTTGCTTGTCGGTTGGTTGGATTCGATTAGACGGGAAACCAAACCAAAACACAACCCCATGCAGAGGACGGTTCACGAGGAGGGGCTGCTCTTTAACGAGCTGATAGAGAGCATCAAACGGGAGGCCCCTCGTGCGCGCGTCAACCGGGAGCAAATCCAAACCCTCACGAGCCGGCTCGTCGCGATCCACCGGCTTCTCCAGAGCTTTCCCGATCCTCGCCCGACCCCGCAGCTCGTCAGTCTCCTGCGTTCGGCCGATTATCTCGTCAAACTCATGACGTGCGAGCCGCTGTGGGAGGGGGTGTTGTGGGAGGCCTTCCGCTACAGCGGCTGCTTCGCCGCGCTGCGGGAGCGCACCCGGGAGGCCTGGCGGCTTCACTCCACCGCCCACTGGGAGGCGGAGGATCGCCGCGCGTTGGGGATCGACGAGGCCGCCAACGCCCGTCTGCTGCTTTCCCTCGCGCGATCCTCGACTTCGTGTGGCGGGGGGGATTCCGGGGATGAAAAAGAGAACGAAAACGAAGCAGAAAGGGGTGTCTTTGCCGCGGTGGAGCGCCCTCTCGCGACGGACCCTTTCTCCGCCGAGGAGGAGAACCTCGTAGGGGCGATTTGCGCGCTCTACCAACGCCGCCGGCTGAGCTCATGGCGGGTGCCTTACGAGAGCCTCGAGCGCGCCGTGGATGAGCCTCTCCCGGTGTGGGGCGGGGAAAAACCCCGCTTTGCGCGGCGGTTTGAGGTTCGAAAGGGGTTCTATCTTCACGGCGAGCCCGTGGTGGTGAAGGCGTTGTCAGGGGAGCTGATCACGCCCGGAACGGCCGCTGCGTTCGTGCAGGATGCCACGATGCGGGCGCGGTGGCTGCACCCCGCCCTCGTCCGCTACCACGGCGCCTTCACGGAGAAATTCACGAGCGCGGATGACGAGCGGCGTGGGCGGGAAATCGCGCGGGCCCATCACCGTCGTTTCTTCGCCCTCACCCCTCCTACCGCGGAGGCGGGGGGGGGGGATCGAGGGGCCGCCCCCGCGTCGTTCCCCCCGCCCCATCTCCTCCACCGCTTCGACTTAACCGATGGGGCCGCGGCGATCGGGGCGGCCCCGGATCCCGCGCCCGCCCGCCCCCCCGAGG